TTATTATATTATTATTAATATAATAAATATAATTATATCAATACAATATAATATAAAATATATTATAAAATAATAATTACAATATCATATTATAATTATATGATAATTATAATATCATATTATTAAAATAATTATAGTAATATTATAATATTATATTATATGATAAAATAATAATATTAGAATTATTAATATAATTATGATATTATTTGTTACAATATTACTATTATATTATATTATATTATATTACGAGTCTGAATTTTAGATTGAGAAAATTGTAAATTTTAAATTTCATTAGGGGTATTATGGGTATTATGAAAGTTTTATTAATTATACATTGTTGATTCCCGCACAATCTAAAAGCTAAAGTTGTCTTTAGATTGCTTCTGATTTTGGTTGTAGATTCTTAAAAAAATCTTAAAAAAACACTTTTAAGTAAATTTACTAAATGCTAAAATCAACTTCTACTACAAACAGAAGCTAATTTTATGAGGAAAAAATAATACCAAACTAAGCCAAAGTCACTCAACATTTCATTCTTGAACAATGAAATGGCACGTAGCTTTGTCTGAAGGGCAAATTAAGGTAAATTCAACTAAATATAAATTCACTACAAGAAATACGCTAATTAGCAACAACAGAGAATGCATTGTTAGTAACTTTTCAGCAGCGATATATGCCGTCGTTAAGGAGTTGTCGCTGACAATTCATTGCTAAATCCTTATAGCTACGATGTTGTTTCGTTTAGTTTATGGAAGAAAACTACACGTCGTTTTAAAGTTGAATAAAAACGACAGTATAGACTCCATGTCGATCATACTGATAGTGAAGAACCACAGTGACAATAAATTAGATGTCGCTTTATGAATAGAAAACACTACGAACCTGAAGTATACGTCCTTCCCATATAATAAAATGACATAAATACGGTCGAAGATATTGGGTCTAAAGGTTGTATGCTTTCTTTAAGAAAGAAAGAAAAAGACATGTTGTTGTTTCAAAAATTGACTCAACATGTCATTCTTGAGGCGAAAAAAAAAAAAGAAAAAAAAAAAACCGATATGCTTAATTTGTGCAAAAACAGTCGCTTGAAGTCGGATAAAAACGATACCAACAAACATATATAATGATAGAATACATGTGGGTTGTCGCTTGATCTGATAGCAAACTACGACACTCAGAATAAAGTATATGTCGTTCAACAACATTAAACGACATGTCGTTCCCGTATTTGATAAAGCGACGTGCAGTTTCTTATGTTAACGAGACAAGTCGTTAGAAAGAAGAAACGATACAAGCTCTATGCAAGAAAATATGACGGCCTTCACGCCTAGATAAGAACAACAGTCAAAATAAATATGCCGTTTCTGTCATTCTGTCAAACGACACTAATTCAAACAGTATGTTGTTAGTTAGTTTTATGTTTAGAGAACGAAACAATTCGACTTGTTATCGGCTACTGAAACCGCATTTTTCACTGGAGGTGAATTTTACTCTAGGCGATATAAAAAAGAATAAACAACCTCTACTTGTCACCTAATAAATGATGTGTCCTACTCAGTAGAGTGATTTTAATTCGATCCAAACGACATTTAGTAGACGTTTGGTTGATGGATTCAGAATCATGATTCAAAATCATTCTCAGTCTACATGTATTTTTAGTGAGAAAAAATATTATAACGAATCACGAACCATGATTCAAATCATGATATAAATCTAGCAACCAAACAAACTCTTATTGTTTAGTGTTTCATCCAATCGACATTTCTTTAGGACGTGTAAATTTTTGGCCGCGTAGTAACACTTTATAGTTATAGAATACACGTTTTTCTGGAATGGTTAGAGATTACCTTCAGTATATACATTGTAGTTGATAATTGATTATATACGATACTAGCTAGTAATTGTAAATATTGTGATGAATAATAAAAACATTTTTTTTTTAATGTTAGGCTGATCGCGTTAGAGGCCACGGACTAATATATTTCAAATAAAAATGAAAGTCGCTCATATTTTTATAGATTCGAGTTGAGAACTTGAGTTGAAAAATTAGTTTGTATGAAAGATAACACCGTAACAAAAAAAGTTAAAATTTTAATTTAAAAAAAAACACTATTAAAAAGGTTTGAGTTGTGATTTGAATATTTAAAAGAGCAGGTCTATATTTCAAGCGGATCCCTTCTTTTATTTGCTCAAGTAACGTTGCTGAACAAAACCACTCATATCCTCTAAAGTAATCGTGGAGGGACAACTGGTGTACCAGTATGCTTTTGGGTTACTATTAGACATACTTTTGGTAGGTTAGTTAGAATAGAGCAATATTACCACAAATTTCCATTAAGAAATTAGTTTACTTAGAAGTAGTCTTGCCTAGTCTCAATAATTCAAGATATCAAAACACGATCGTACGTATTACTAGCATACAAATAGAAAAACGTGGAATTCTGGGAACCAAACATGAAAGAACCCACTTACTTGTATTATTTCTCCAAACTTTATAAAGTTGTATATAATAGTTGGAGGAAAGGGAGAAAAAAAAAAGCTTATTTTTGTGATTTTCCATGTGCAGGAATTAATTATTGACGATATAGTTGGCAAGTCTGAATCTAGATTTCCTCAACTGTTCTGTCAAGTTAATTTCCTTCTCTATATCTAGTTGGTTTTTTTTTTTTTTTTTTTTTTTTTTAAATATGTGTGTAATAAATACCTATTAAATTTCCATTGATGCCCCTTTCTCGTTAATAACTTCCTTCTCTATGAAACAAGTCAATAGGCACCCACATATTTGGCTCCAATATTGTTGGTTTTTCTTTTTTCTTTTTCTTTTTTTTTTTTAAGACTCCAATGTTGTTGTTACGTATCATGTATAACGTGAGTCACATAAAAGTCAATAACTTTTTTTTATTATTAATTTATATTTGTAAATGATGAAAGTCAATAACGTTTATCAGATAGCTATTGATGACCGAACAACAGAAGTAACACTAATTAACAGTGAAGCACGTGGAAATCAAAGGTGAAAATGAAAGCATAGAGTAGTACTCAATATGCATGATATTACACATAGCACAAAAATCATTTAATGCATGCTGACCCAGTTGCCATTGTCGTTCTTGAGACCAACAGACACATATGGATAAAATCTAGCAAGTTGAATTTAATATATGCACTTATATCTACACAAGATATATTCGTCGTTTTCACTATTTTATATTTATATAATAATAATAATAATAAAAATGGTCATTCAATAAGTGACCCTAAGAAGACCCCCTTATTCATGACGTATGCATTAGAAAGTAGCAACCAAAGGAGGTGGGTAAGGCTTTTCTTCGGATATGAATATCTAGCTCCCCACTTGAATATTTGCCTTTTCCTCATTACCATTCCTTGAGAGGAATATGGCCCCCCATTAGACCAACCAATTAAAGCCGATCTTGCCACAATCAGAACTTTAACGCTCAACGCCTACTTTGTACAAAGTTGCCAATATTATAAATTGAGAAAAGAAATGGAATAAAATCATAACCTCTGTCCTATCGAAACATCTTAAAATATCTTGTCTTTTTAATAATATTAAAATTATACTTTTACATTTAAAAAAAAAAAACATGTTTTCGGTATCTTAAAGTGGTTTTTTTAAGTTATAAAATTTCCTTTATACTATTTTAATTAATTTGCACGAAAACTAAATTAAAAAAGATATTAAAAATATTTAAAAACATCAAAAAGACAAGGAAGGACACCTTCCTCCCCTACTTTGTTAAAACCCCGAAAATCAATTGAAGCAGGGGAGGAAAGTGTTTCCTTTTACTTTTTATGCTTTTAACTATGTTTAATATGTTTATTTAAGTAAATTAATTAAAAGGGTATAGATAAGACCTTTATCGTCCCTAAAATTGATTTGGGGTATCGGAAATATTTTTTAAAAACATGAAGGTATCT